TTTTCCTTGTATTTCTAACGATATTTATTGATGTTTGTAAATGGATTTTTTTTTTCTTCTTCTGTGTTCAACTTTGTTATTAATTGTAATTGTGTGGTATCTGGTATATTGTTTTATTCACTATTACTATTATAAGAACCACCTCCTTTTCTGACTGCTACCAGGCTAAGCAATTTTCCTTGTGTTTTTAACGATATTTATTGATGTTTGTAAATGGATTTTTTTTTTCTTCTTCTGTGTTCAACTTTGTTATTAATTGTAATTGTGTGGTATCTGGTATATTGTTTTATTCACTATTACTATTATAAGGACCACCTCCTTTTCTGACTGCTACCAGGCTAAGCAATTTTCCTTGTATTTTTAACGATATTTATTGATGTTTGTAAATGGATTTTTTTTCTTCTTCTGTGTGCAACTTTGTTATTAATTGTAATTGTGTGGTATCTGGTCTATTGTTTTATTCACTATTACTTTTATAAGGACCACCTCCTTTTCTAAATGCTACCAGGCTAAGCAATTTTCCTTGTATTTTAACGATATTTATTGATGTTTGTAAATGGATTTTTTTTTCTTCTTCTGTGTTCAACTTAATTGTGTGGTATCTGGTATACTGTTTTATTCACCCTGTATGCTTGTTTATTGCTTGGCAAAATAAATTGAATTGAATTGAATTGAACACTATATTTAATTGCGGTGATTTGTCGGTTACGAACAGATAGTCATGGCAGGCTTCGATATTCTATAAAACTAGAAGCTATCTTGACAGTACTTCAACAGGAAGCTGGATAGAGACACTTCGTCACATCAAGCTACGAGAAAGTATATCATCATTTCACCGAAATCTACTCGAACACCGCATCCAAATCAGGTAGGCCCAACATCTCTTACATTATGTCTGTTACATATGAGACGTCTTTCTGACTTCGTCAGTTTGTAATTGTATTGATAATGATTTCGATTATTTAGTAGCGCTAAAACAAAAAGTACCTTCGATGCTACTTATAAGTATCGGCTTGCTTGGTGATGTAGATATAGTAGGCTTACACACACTCAAGACAGAAAGAGTATCGACAATCATTTTAGGACTCCCCAGTCCCCCCCCCCCCCCCCCCCCCTCTCACATGGTGCAATCGTAAGCTACTGTATACAAAGTAACATAATGTGATGAGAAACATAAAACTCAAAAATAGGTAAATCAAACTTTATTACTGAGAGAAGAAATATGTTTAATGAGTCTTTTGAAAGAGGCGAGACAGCTTAATTCTCTGATGGAAAGGGGAATATTGTTCTATGTTTTTGAAGCAGCAACTGTATAGCGTTTTTTGGTGGTTGACTGGTGTGGATTTGGGAATAATTAATGTAAATTCAGTTGTTGCCTGCATTTCTTCAGACATTTCTTCGCCTCTTGTGGAGCGGGCTTTTAGTGCACATTAATCAGGAGCTATGCTTTGGCAACTCTGAGGGGTGCGATGGCCCAGTGATTTCGTAATCGGGAGGTCCCGGGTTCGTAACACTAAAGGGCGCTAGGCGTCCTTTGGTAAGGCATTAATCCTCATTACTCATCTTGAGTTATTACACTGACTCTTTGCTTACACAGATGTAGTGGTACGCTAACTTAGGCAACACATTGAACTAAAGGGGGCGCTATAGCAATAAAGGAGTCGGGTTGAGTTGATCAATTGTACGGTTATTAGTTTGACTTTATATACATCTAAAAGTTGAAAAGCATTAATTATGTTCCCGATAGTATGCCGGGAACGGGGGGCCGTTTCTCGAAACCAACTCCATGACAGTCATATCTTTGTCGGCGACCTACGGAGATGTCATGAAGCGGATAAACCGTTTCACAAAGCCATGACAGACATGATATCGATATATCGCGATACTAGCAGCTCAAGAACATAGTCTTTGTCACGATCCATTTGATTTATCAAGAATAACCCAAAACAAGTTTTGTGGCTAAAATTGTTCAAAAAGAAATATATTCATATAAATTCTCCTAAAATAAATAATAAATAGTGTCATTATCATATTTACATCATCAAACGATTTGCATATTTCTGTAAAGATTCTTAAATTGAAGAAAAACCGGTGAGTGTTTTTTTTTCGACAGTCGAATCAAAAATTAGTTGAAGGATACCGTAATGTGATAGTTTATCAATACGTACTTTTTTGTTTATTGTGACGAGAAATTTTAGGCAAAATGTCTTTTCTCAGCCAGTTTTTATTCTAGAGTCTCATAAATACTCGTTATATAATTGATTTGATGTTGAAAATATAATTTGGATGAAGTAAATAGAGAGGGGAAAATAATGCACATAGGCCCCAAAGGTATGACGGTATCCTAAGAAAAGACTATGGATCGACTATGGAAAACGGTGTGTAACATTCTTACCTCTCTTATTTTATATGTTATAGTTTAATGATTTGGGATTTAATGTTTATATTAAGCTTTTTAAAGTTTCTGTATAATTTGTATTCTCACTTTTGTACATTTGCATTTCGCATCCCAGAGAATTACGTACCGAACTCGTCTATATTTTTCTCAAAATGATAGTGAAACTAATCGTCCATTTCGCGGCCCATGGAATGGCAACAAACTGACTTGTGATGGCGCTTTACAGCAATTAAAAAGATATGACAGGTTCGGAGCAGTGACAACTCGCTTGTCGCGGAAGTTGTCGCTCATCTTGGCAAAGACGGCTTCGTGAAACACTTAGCTGACAAGTTGCATGACAGTGGCGAGATGTCGTTGATCTTGTAGTTATGACGGTTTCGAGAAACGGCCCCCGGGGGCCGTTTCTCGAAACCGTCATAGGTCTTGAATTCCTGCATTAGATTACAGGTGTTCATTTTCGATAATTACGTTAGCCAATAGACTGTTTTTCTGGGGACCTGACATTCTCGCGAAGCTATAGCCTCCTCTCATTTTCGTCGGTGCCTAGTTCAAGTCACTCTATCTATTATGCTTTGTCATTGTTTAATTAATACTCCTCTCTTAAAGAGCAGGTTGAGTTTTGGGAAGAGGTGACAAATAATTTGTGAGCGTTATCATTCTTTTCATGCAAGTGTGGAAGAACATCAGATAAGACATGTACCCAGAAAAGCATGGCTCTTCAAATGCCTTCATATTCTAAATATGTCATGTAACATCGTAAAACTCCAGGGTATGATTTTTACGCCACGTGTTCGTGTAGTCCCATATACAGCTTTCTGTGTACAGTGTTTGTAACTTTACCAAGACTTGGCTAAATTTCTTATCATTTTGATGATTCCAGAACCTTGCAATACACACAAATTCTTATATGCTGGATGATCAACCTTTTCTGGTCGATTCTACACCGTTTCTTTCACAATGCAATCGCATGACCAGAACTCAACTTCATCTTTAATTGGTGGATTGAACTGATCTAGAGGTCGGATGACCTAAGGGTTATTTTATATATCATATCTTGTAATTGGTTGTATTCGTAAGGGTACTCCTGATTGGTTAATATTATCATGTGATATTTAAGCGTCGTCGGGTGCCGGAGTATTTAAATGCCATATGTGCGGGATTTTGTAGCTGAGTTTTATTTTATTCCGTTACCATGTTTAGGATATGCTGCTAGTTTTACCCAGCCTCTGAGAGAATCAGCTATTTCAAAATGTTCTTAAATAATTAATCTTCGTTTGTAACTACTGGAGCTTCCGTTGACTTTATAAATAATAAAGTGGACTTCAACTGTATATCCGAGCTTCTTTCGTTTTCATTTTGTTTCTGAACTTGTCGTCACCGACCCATTACGGGCCCATTACACAGACTTACAAGTACCTTCCTAAAGTTGTCATCACTGAAACACAAATTGGCAACACTGTAACGTATATTGCGACCCCCTCTTCAACTGTACCGACAATTTCATAAACTTTAATTTTCTCAGTTATTGATGACTGAGCGAATTATCGGCCGGCACAATTTTCAATTTATTTTGGAAAAAAAATAAATAATTGTGCTCCTTGGGGGGATGTGAACAATTTTTTTTTTTTTTTTTTTTTTTTTTTTGGGGGGGGGGGGGGGGGGCTCGATAATTTGAAAAATCGCACCCCCCCCCCCTTTTTTTTGAGCGCCATCTCCAAAAAAGGGTAAAATTTACGTGTTTTAACTGTATTTTTGCTCAGAGGAGCCCCCCCCCCCCCCCCTCCCCCCTGAATCCGCCACTGATAGAAGGTCCATGATTTCAGAAAGCAAAGAATATGATTGAATGAAGACATTCTGAAGCCTTCCCCTTGCATTGATCAGAGCTACCCGCAATTCCCGTATTTTAAGACAGCCTGTCGTCTCGAAGCCCGTTATTTAGTTGAGCGCAATTTGTTCCTTTAGTTTCCGTTATAACTTCATATTGTTCAATTTTGGCTTTGTTAGTCAATGAATTTTTTATGACATGAAGAATGCGATGCATATATATTTATATTTTAATATCTCTAATGTTCACCTTATAATATTCATATTTGTCTTGCAATGTATCTTTGTATTTTATCAACATGTACATAATTGTTTTCCCTCTCTGTCCATCTGTCCCCTTTCTCCCCTCTCTCTCTCTCTCTCTTTCTCTTTCTCTTTCTCTCTCTCTCTCTCTCTCTCTCTTTCTTTCTCTCTCTCCTGCTTTCCCATCTCTCTTTCTTTTTAACTCAAATTTTTAAATTGAAATATTGTATAAGATTAATGGTATATAGTATATACACGCTCTTCATAATTATGTAGATTATAGTGTGACATTTTAAAATGTATACTTGCTTTTTTCCAGCAATTTACTCATGTGCAATTCAGTTACTTTTTTACTGTGATATCACTTGAAATGTATAATTGTCTTCACCATCAATGTTTTATTCATGCACAATTCAGTTACTTGTAAGTTTCAGTACATCGCGAATCTATGCTGACATTCTTAATCATGTTGCAATTTCACCGTAGCTATGTACCGAATCAAAAATGTATTTCATGTTTATTCCATTTTCCTTAGACTTTAAAAATGGCGTCCAAAACCATGATTGCTCTCTACTTTCTGATTGCCTTGGCCGTGGCAGCAAGTGTTTTAGTCGAGGAAGATGAGATCGACAATTCTAATGCGTTGAATGTCGAGAAAAACGTCAAAGGCGGTAAGCAATTAACTTCTAATGTTGTCAACCAACTAAACGAATACCATTACAAAGCAACCGACCAAGTAATTTCATGCTTGTGCGGTCACATATTAAAATTTTCCAACATGTCATTGATTTTTCGACATTATCCGACCAGATTTTAAGAAAGTTTGCAATGCACTGACAAGAAAGATACTTTATATCACTTTTTATCCTTGCCGATGATTTTTTGTGATAAATTGAGTTGCCAACCGAATTTCGTTTAATTTGATTTGTTGATTTATTATTCTTTCGATCATTTTTCGTCTTTTATTTTGGTATTGTTTTAGTCAAGGAAGATGAGATCGACAATGATAATGAGTTGGATGTCGAGGAAGACATGCCTTATACTCCCCGCAGGAGTAGAAGTAAGCAATTAATTTCTAATCTTGTCAACCAACTAAACGAATACGATAATTACAAAACAACCGACCTATAATTCCAAGAGTCGTATATAAATGCTTGTGCGGTTACCTATCGAAATGTGCTAACATGACAATGATTTTTCGACATAATCCGACCAAATACTTTCTATCATTTATTCTCCTTGCCGATGATTTTTCGTGATAACTTTAGGTTAGGTACCAACCAAGTTTTGTTTGATTCGATTTGATTTATTGATTTATTATTGTTTTAATCATTTTTTAATCTTTTATTTTTGCATCACAGAGTGTACGCACTTAAAAAAAAGTTAGACTAGGTTGTTTTCGTAAGTCAAGCATGAACAATATTTCCAAATCTAAAAAAAAAAAAGAAAAAAAGAAATAGAATGCTCCTTCTATGAATGATAATAATCCATCTCTTCATTTTTCGATACGACACCTCTATCACATAGTTATGAAAATGAGAAAGGTCAAGGAAGACGAACTTGAAAAGTCGGCAATATATTTCTTTCGCTCTTATCTTTACCACCTCTGTTACCAGCCTCGAAATGATCAATGCCATTGTGAACGTAAAGATTAGGTTGATAATAGCAATACTTTTAACGCTGATATATGACTCGTGGATGTGCAGTACAGAAATAAAAACAATTTTATTGGTAATATTTACGATGGTCATGATCAATGGCATTGTAATTTTAAATGAATGTGTTGTTGTTTTAAAGAATACAAATTAAGGAGTACTCAACAATCATGACACAAGAAGGCTTTTAAGTGCGCATAATTTCGATCAAAAAGACTTTGCATAACATTTTTTTTAAAAACATTATGAAGGGCATGCTTATTTTCTATAGAAGTCAGGCTCTACCCAATCCATATTTTTCCCATATGTATCTTCATAATTGTTAGGGTTGCGTGAAATTTTACACATAAGAGGGGAAGAAAGGAACCATGTTAGTTCATTGGGTAAGAGTTTGCCAACACTGGGTAATCAACCAAGGTTGGGTACATTTCATCCAACAAACATGCATATTCCCATTTTAACCTCTTTGCAAAATTGTACCCAACTGTAAACTGCTTTAAGAGTGCACATAATTATACACATCTTCATTATCCCACTAGCAGAATCACACCATATCACATAACAATACTGTTTCTGAAATGCAATCGGTGCATGCACATTGTCAACAAAATTCCTTAGAATTTGTTTTAATATTTTTTACTAAATCTTTATATTCTCTCTTTGCTTTAATTCAACAGTAGGGGAAGAGTAGCTTCGAGAAGATCGGAAAGTATACTAGCTGGATCTTTTCCATGTGGTCAGACGTCTGCTCTGTTTGTTAATTGAGACTTTTGTCAAATTGATGCGAGAAAAACAATCATCGGTGATCAGTCATCACTGACCTTAACCCTAACCCCAACGAATTCATAACCTTGCCCCTAAAATATAAACATTCAATAAATGTATATAGTACAATTTGAATCTCGATTCAAAAGGAAAGTATCAATATGCCTACATGTAGCCCAATATAGTTTTGTGTTGACAACAGGTTAGTCAATTCACTGGAAATTTGATTGTTTTGATATAATGCATTGAAGAGTACAATATTGTACATGTGCTTCATGTGTAGATAAAACGTGAAAATGAAACCATTGAGGGGTATACATTGATAAGTTGTAAATTGTCAAATTTTTAATCAGCTGCTTTATTCTCTGACAAACTGTGCACAAAACGGTCTCATTAAATGGAATGACGTAATAATTCCTCCTCGGGTTAACTTACTTTTGTTCATGTTGTGAGAGGGGTAACTATGAAAATTAGGAGAGAGAAAGAGAGAAGAGAGAGAGAGAGAGAGAGGAGGGGAGGGAGGAATAGCCATGGAGCAGGCATATAAATAGAGATAGATAGTAAGGGAGCAACTCTTTTCAGAGGATACGAGATAGAAAGAGAGAAACAGATGAGGCAGGGAGATCTATATATGTTCGATTAAATACAAACATCTTCAGAATGTCTATCTTATTACGTTCTGTCGATGATGATGATGATAATGGTGTCTTTGATATGGTGATTCAAGGACGTAATCATCCAAAGTTATGAAATTGTTGATATTGTGAATTAAGCAGAGATGATCTATAAAATATGAGGAAAAAATGTTTCAGTGTGAAAGAAGGAAAGAGAGAGAGAGAGAGGGGGGAGAGAAAGAGAAAAAACTACATCATATGTTTACATATCAAATGGTAATTGCGTCTTCCTGATGTTTATCACATCGATTAAAAAAAGGGAAAGACCAGATGAATACACGTTTTCTTTAAAATGTGAGATGTTTCTTCTGAGAACCATTCATTATCTTTTTCATACAACATACAAAATACATACAATATACGAAATCGATTCATTATTGATAGAACCTTCGTTTTAAGTTGGGTTTTGTTTGGGTAAATCTTTATTGCATCCACATGGCAGTTTACAGAGGTTGAAATATATTTCTTACATGTACATCACTTTTGAATATTACCATTTCAAAGTTTCTTATAACTAAACCGAATTCATACATATCTATATATCATTATTACACGTACCATCGTCCGTCAACAGTAACTGAATTTGAAACCGATATCATTATATTTGGCATTGATTTGCAGATGTTGAAGTTGAAAAAAAAGAAGAAAAAAACAGAAAGAAAGTTAACTAGTTTCATGGTCGAAAGCCGCAGTTGGAAATGCATAGCACATTTGAAATCAATATGACTTTTATAATACAACTAATATTCAACCACTTCATCATTTCCTTCCTAATTAATTCTTTAAAATAACAAGCTGCATAACTATACAGAAAATAACTACTAACAATTAACTGTTATTGTTAATTTCATAAACACAACGCCACTAGGCTATCGTCGATCCGACAGAGCAAAAGTACTAAGAGAGGAGCAGTAACTACGCCCTCTCACATTGCCTGGCGAAAATCTTACAATGACGATGGAAACGCCATTAATCTCAACAACAACAACAACCTCAATTAAAGGTAATACAAAGTTTAGGTATGGGGTCATGAAATTGGTTCAAATGAACATATTGGAAATGCGATCCTACAATATTCAATGATCGTTGTCGCGGTTGAAATCGACTCTAAAGTTATGAAATTATAAATAATTAACTCTTTACGCAGTATAGCTCCCTCTTAAGGTCAATATATTAATTACGCTATAAAACAATATTTCTCGACTAGATATTCCCGTTTGAAAATTATTTAACACAACTACATATTCAGAGATTTCCATCGGGGCCTACTGCTAACTGAAGCAATTACGAAAATACAACGTGATATTGCTCGTTTGTTTTTTGTTTTATAGACAGATAATTATTATATTTCACACGCAATTCCATGCAACTTCACCCTATAAGAGCTCACTTTATAGACTTCAATCATTATACATTTCATTTAGTCGGTCTTTAGTCCTTAACGATTTTTACTGCAACGGAAATGAACTCGTATTTTTCAGTGATATACAAAAAAAATGATAATAATGAGCTAGTTGTTATAAAACGCTTTTCAGGATCGAAGGCCCTCTCAAATATACAGATATATATATATTATTAACCCGGTCATCAGATCCGGTGACATATCCACTCGTCCACGCGCCTCTACTTCTGTTCATGATAAAAATATTAGTATCGATGTGACTTCCTATTTCCAACTGTCCGATGGGAAATCTACCCTCACGACAAACAATTAAAAAACACTGTTGTAACACACGACAACTACAGAAAAGATGTAAAGCACAGCATATTTTTTAGAAGCATCAATAGATGTTTTAATCAAATATAGCTTAATTTAAATAAAATAAGAATATGTTTATACTCCGTACACCACTGATATAGACTAGTCTAGATCACAAACATGTATCCTTGGTAGAAGCCTGGTGTAAGTCAAGGTGTTTACATCCATCTTTAAATTAAAGGCACAAACCTAGCTAAAAGCATTGTTTTCATTCTACTGCGTGAAGCGTAATGCTATCGATTTTAAGAGAAAAGTTTCCAAACTTTTTTCAAAGCTATGGCAGTTTCCGGCGTACACAGTGGAATTTGATGGTTTCCCACAGACAGTATGACAAGCCTAGACATTTTTAAATATACAATGTGTTCACAATTGTCAACTGTTTTAATAGGGAGCTATTAAAAGCAATAACGAAAAATCTTTCTTCCCCATAACTCCCATAACTTGAGATGCAACTTAAAGGCAGGGTACTTTACAGACATCGCTACCACTGCTGTAATGTATTTTCAATTGAGCTATCTTCAGTCAGGCGTACATACAGCGATTTCCGGTTCCTGTATCCAAGCATCATCATCACCTGCTCGTCATCAGTTGGTGATGCATTGTGGGACATGGCTGTCGACGGCAGTATATGCACATCAAAAGTATGGTCAGTAGAATACCCTACCTTTAAAGAGCTAATCACACTGTAAAACAAGCTACATTTTCATGACATGCAAATTTCGCAATCGGGTAATGACAGTTAATTTCAAAGCAATGCATTTTTGCAAATCTCCAAATAAGATGTGTACATGTGATTTAATTATTGCACAGCGTGAAAATCCGCATGCAATCATTTCTGGTTTCACCGAAATCGTGTTTTTCTTTGGGTACTTGCCATAATCATCAGCATAATCTTAGCCCCCAAACTGACGCAATACCTTTAGGGTATATGATAATATGACGCAGCAAAACTGCAGCGTTTTTTTTTTTCTTTCTCATTTATGATGACGTGAAGTGTAATATGTTTCACATTTATGTCACTTATAACACGGAGCTCAGTGGATAAGCCCAAAATCCTAAAACATAAAAATTACCCTAGTAAACACCCCCGAATAATTCCTTTTCTTTACAAAAAAATAAGCTTCACATAAATTTGCATGAATTTACCCCCAAATAGCATCTATTGAATCTGATATTTTTAAGTATCCACGCCGTTTATTATCTAGTACTGGGACATCACATAACTTTATATAAATTTTGAGCTAGGAGGTTGATATTGATTGTTATACCAAATCTTTATGAAAGGTTTTCATACTCTCTTTTGAGAGGTGAAGAAAAAACATGACCTTAATAAACATGAAAACAAGATACATTTAAATGCCTCATTTCTCTACTTTTACAAATAAAAATACTGTTTTATAATTTAAGTACCTTGAATACAACTTCAGATAATACAACACTCAGTATAATTAAATTGTTCTTTGTACTATGCAAACTTTGCATATCACACTGCCAAATTAATGAAGAACTTGTAATATGATTAAAATGTCCAAAAATTCATCACTGCACAGCAAAAGCCATTGAGTTTCATCCACAATATTGTTAGAAGAAAAGAAAGAGAAAAAAGGTTCCTTTAACTTATAAGGATATTAATATGATCTTTCATATGATCAGATAGACAAACTTTATGAATGGTGAAAACTAATGATAGTTAATAAGAGGAGAGAAGTACCATTTTTGTATGTACCTTCACTGATTCATTGTAAGTTAAAATTTAAAATGCTATCAACACAAAACACAAGGCAAGATGCTGCAGTATTTCATTCTACTTAAGTCAAAACGTGATAAAAGGCAGCACTTTCAGAAAGGAATTTATGCAGAACACACAAGGGCCATGCATATGGCTACACTGCACATAAAATCTGCCATGCATGGTGAATATATTTTACATAATAAGCTTTGAGAATTCATACAAAGGGCAGACTTCTGTAGACTAATCCAATTTGTAATTATGTACATGTATAAACAAAATGTTGGCAAAAAATATAAATATCATCTGTTTGGAGCCAAAAAGGTGTTAACTCTGTGTTTAAAGTAGCCAAGTGAAGAATCAAAAGTGTTTTGAATTGATGCAAAACTCATATCATTGCGAAGGGGAAACAAGTCTTCTCTTCAATATGTTTGGGGCCCGCAGTAATCAACTCTCAAAAATGTTAGTTTTGACTCGGAGATCCAGATTTTCTGCCTTCAGCAGTCCTTTGCAGAGCGTCAATATTTGTGACGTCACATACGGGACACGGCTGGCTAGCTGCATACTGCTACATGGCACTGAGCTGTTCGTCCAGTGTGTAACGTCACAATTCAGAGCTTGCTACGCTTGTGTGTTTGACTTACGTTCAGGGGCGTTCGGGGGTCTAAGGAGGGTCTTGAAAAATTGCATTTTACGCCTTTCCATGATATCTATATGATTTCTCAGCAAATTGTTTGTGTTTTTGTTTTGTGAGTTTTCTTTGTGTAGCTCCTTTAAGTATTTGAGTTAATGCCCTCCTGGTTCCAAACAGACAATATACAAGACAAAACAAAGGGCAAGTCCTGGATGAATATCAATCCTTTGAATACAATTCTATTTTGGTACAACTCCAGCTTTCCATCGAAACCAGCAAACTCTCATTCTTATGTCCTTTATAACAGTCAGAGAGTTATCATAGAAATTGACTTAAAATGCCCAAACTTCGCTGCATGTATGCCTTAGCATCAAGCGAGTTAAATGCCACTTTGATGTCAATTTCTTTTCGATATTCTGGTTAAATCCCTATTCTCATATTCATTTTAGACTGCCCTCTGGTGTTTCTTCTTTAATACAAAAGATAAATATTTCTTCTTCCATATACACTGTTTCTTATATTAATCATTTGTTTTGATAAATTTTGACATGAACTAACCATAGTATATACATACATTCACTCGTAAACTTCTTTATACAAAAATAAGAGTTGCAAACATATTTCTCTGTACACTTTCCAAACTTTCACAGTAAATAATTCTATACAAACTCTGAATACACTCACTATTTACAATGTTTTTCACCATCTACGCCATAAATCATTTACACAACATTGATAAGTACCATTGGTATCTTTCAAATATTTAAACTACAACTACACAGTATTTTTAAGGCTCTTCACTCACAGTTTTTTGTTTAAACTTAGTAACTTGGGAACACTATTGGATACCAAGTATTGCCATTACTCCATCTTCCATCCATTCCTTTAAAGGACAATGGATTTCATATTTTTACAATGATTTTAGTTTCCATATTAAAAAAAAATTATATTAGTCATGAGATTCTTTTGCTTTCTCTCACTGCAAATATGTATTAGGATTGGATTTTCTTCCCTGCAAGTCAATCATCAATCTACAATAATGAATAATTTCAAAATTATTCATTATTCATTATTTGAGACATTTAGACAACTAGGCAAAACCTGCCCTTGAACTACAACACTGTCCAGACCAACAAGACTGCTACCCCTACTCGACTCTACCCCCAAACCATCCCGATCTGGAGCTCCCTTTCATTGACGTCGGATAAAAACATCCCCCCCCCCCCCAATAGCAAATCCTTCAAGTCACTCTTGTCAAAAGCCCAGTTCTACAGGTGAATGTAACAGCTCAGTGCTAAGTTAATGTATAAATCTGAATAACTGTTATAACTTGAAAATGCTTTATGTATTGTTATTACAAATGACCATGGTGAGAATAGTCTTATACATGTAGTGAGAATAGTCTTATACATGTCGTTATAACAGGTCAATGAGATTGTCTCCGTTGTCACGCTCGGGGTATGCACTGGATCCATTTACACCTCTCTGCTTGGGTACAGCACTGTTATACTTGATGAACGTCGTGGTATCCTGGGGACAAACAGAAAATATAAAAACTTGTCATTATAACAAACAAAATAATAATAATTAAACTTATATGATAACATTTGTCATCTGGAGAAAAAAAGAGCGGGTAAGAACTTAGCTGAAGAGTTGTAAAAAAAAATTGCCATTTTCGACCAAAAAATAATGATTTTGAACCTTTCAATGTTATGTTTTGCCAATTTAAGGCTATTAAACCTTATTTTCCTTTAGAAAATTCCTATTTCTTAGCATGTGATGGGGTTATGCAACAAAAATGGATGCAGTCTGCGCAGAAATTCTTTCCCTTTCTACTCATGTATCTGGGGCGGTGTTTCACAAAGACCAAGATTGACTTTAAAGCCCCACTGTCCTACTTGTAGCTACTTGCGCCCTCTATATAACAAACAATGCCTAATCGGTGACCATTGATCCCCCATGATCCTCTTTTTCTTATGTTAACTGAGAGCTGAGTGGATGAGATAACCACCGGTCAAGTGACATTGCAGGGCAGTCTAATCCCTCCTGTAAACTAGTACAGATAAGCTTTAAAGGTCCCCTCTAAGGCTCTAACCCAACTAACTTAGCCTTTTAAAACATGAATACACCTGTACTTATTAACATTCCAGCCTAACATTTTTCAGAAAATCTCTACATTGACCCAAAAATGATAATAACCATCCATTTTTCACAGATCTCATGCTTGCTAAGCTACACCCCTCAAAAAAAGGTAAATAAGGTCACGTGGCTTGATGACGCATTTGACATCATTGCAGGAATGTCCTTGTATTTGTCCTACAACTAAGGATCCTACAATCTCATTGTCGTTTATAATTAGGAATGACGAAATGGCCAGAAACATTCTGGGATTATCAAGTGCATATTATTTTTTCGGATTAATGTGTCTTTTTTTTCAATTAATATCATACTTTGCCTGTTTAAAGACATTTTATTGCCTAAATCACCCTCCTTTTCACCAAGAATTGGCAAGCAGACGATTTTTGCTTAAACTCATACCACAGTGCGCGTTCTTATCAGCCTGGCGTCAGTTTCCTTTAGAACACAAACTATCAAATGAGTGGGCAAAGAGTCTACAGTGTTTATTTGTATCATTAACTACCTGTATGTGGAAAATAAATAAACTTAAACTTGATTGGGGAGAGTAGAAGCTACATGAAATGAGAAGAGTTTGATGTAGACTACAATACTTACAGACATCGTAAGTTTTCCCAATCCTGTAGTCCCAGTTAGTATGTGTACGGTGATATCAAAGAAAAACACACCAAAGAAAAAGTGCTTGTTAGAATGACACCAGAAAAGAAGTTAGTATGCACTGATCACATAATAAGCCAGTTCGTAGATACAATCTGGGGGGTGTTTCACAAAGATCCTAAGTTGAACTTATCTCTAAGTTGGACTTAACAATTATGGAAAGCCGTTAGCATCATTGAAAATATGTTCTAAACATTATTTTGAAAGGAATAAAATGTTGATTCAAATCATTCATATTTTCTATCATCTGGGGAGATTTCATTTTCTTGATGTGGAATTTATGAAGAGTCTAAATACTTGAATTTTGCTTTTGAATGTATTTCATTATAAGGCTAAAAATGACTCTCCATAATATTTAAGTCCAACTTAGAGTTAAGTTTGACCTAGAATCTTTGTGAAACACCCCCCAGCCCATGTAGATAAAGGTCATTTGTACCAAAATTGTAAAATCCACCAATACGAATACTGGATCCGTGCTCATAAAAGTTATGTAATCAAAATTCATTTATGCACTGAGGGTACAATCTATTGAACACAGGTGGAAGTATTCTTCTCAAGAGGGCAAATAAAAAGGTATTCATGGAGCACATCCATGACTTTGGCAGTGATTTGTCTAAAATGCAAAAAGTGGGACTACTGTGTAAAAATGTCGTGGATATTACGGGTCATATGTACTATATGGTAACTACGAACTGGTCTATTAGAGTATAAACTTCGATTGAAATGTAACACAAAAAAACACAAATCCACATACATAACCAACAAAACCATTAATGATTAACAAATCAAATATATGAAGTGCATTTGTAGAATTGCAACACTACTGAACTTGATACAAAAAGTCATACCACTGTACAAGAAACAATCAAATGGATTACTAATATATATGACGATCGAATCACATTATTTTGGTGAATTTCAAGATTTAATAACATTATTCCAGAAGCACAGCATAGAGTAAGAGTAACAATATGTCTTAACTGTGGATGCAATAGTAAAAACATTCTATTATTCAGCTTTCAAACCCCTGTGGAATTAAGTGTTTTTCTGAACATGAATAAAATAACACCTATGTACTTCAAGCTAAAAGTGCGACCTGTTTCTGTCTAAAAGAATATTTTGAACAATGCACATTTCAATTTAACACCCCCAAGGTCATCCAATTAAGCAAATAAGGGCCTCCATGATTGTGCGCTACTTGGATTTTTGGTCAGGTTTTTTGGTCAATTTCTCAACTTTTTACTCACACTGTGGACCCATCATATAAAACAAATAATATATGTTTTTAACTTTATTAGTGCATTAGTGCATTAGTGCATTAGTGATATGTACTGCACTTGGTTAAGTCACAATGAGACAAACTATGAACTCAACAAGTCTTTTTCATTATCCTACTGTGACTTAAAGGTAAAGACCAGTATTGGAAATGCCCCAATTTCAAAAAATGAAATGGAAGCTCTCATTACCAATCATGTGAAAGAATATGTTTTGACTAATACATGATGATAAAAAATTGGCCGGGAAACCGCCTACTAATTCATATATTTGGTAAATTTGTTTCTCTCATGGACTGTGAGAGATATGGGGTAGTCCCATATACATCTTTCTGTGTATAGTGCTTGTAACTTTATGAAGAATGGGCCAAATTTCTTATCATTTTGATGATTCCAGAACTTTGCAGATGCTAGATGATCAACCTTTTCTGATCGATTCCACAACGTTTCTTTCACAATGCAATCGCATGACCATAACTGGTCTTTACCTTTAACCTGTGTGCAGTGCATATTACTAATGCACTCACAAACATATATTATAATAATCGATGGACAATAATTGTCAACTGTCCCAATCCACAAACATCGAGTTCATGCAATGAATTAGATCTGTCCAAGTTAATGGTGACATCATTTGTTTGGAGCCAAAATGGCATTAACTCTGTGTTAAACAGTATGAGTTAACAGCCTTCAGTCTCCAAACAGACAATAGAGCGCTTTCGCAAACACGACGGAAGCAAAGACCTCTGGAGAATTACAGGGATACAGCTCTTCCGTCATGTTTAGGGAATAAATGCTATAATGGCCGCGTACGGACGTGAAAATCAACAGGACTGAGAAAATTCTGGTTCGCACATGCACAGATTGTGTTTCGCTCGCATTACCGTCGTCTTTGCCTTCCGTCGTCTTTGCGAAAGCGCGCTAATATTAAGTATTCACAACAAAAAGACGTGTTAGAGTCATGCAATGTACATGCAGTGTGAGCTTGAGTTTACCTGGCATCTGAGTCCATAGCGAATGAATGGTTAGCATGATGGTCCATGAATGTTACGATGAAATTTAGAAAATTGGGATGTTATCTCTTAATTTCCTATTCTTTTCATTGTAAAATATCTCTTCAAATGTTTCCTTCAAGAAAAGTATATTAAATGAAATTTCTGCTAGAATATCGCAAATGATGTTTGGCAATCAAGGGCATCTATTTGGACTGTTATACCCAATAAGTTCACTGTTCTGCTCGAGGAATTCCTATTTTTCATCATCATGTACTGCGATGTAACACCATGATAAGAACTAATTTTAGCCTTAACACCAGATATTCAAAGTGACAGATAAATTCTTTAATAAGTACCCGGTATTCAAAACATTCAATATCTTGAAAATACAGATATTACATTGAGAGAAATGGTTAGGTGTTGAACATCTCCTCTCAAACATGCATCAAAAATTGATACTTAGGAAACTTGAAAAAATTATCAACACTATAACATTTATAACAGGCAGTGTTCTCCCGAGACTTTAGAAAGAAAAATTCCCAAATACCAGTGAATAAATTTGACAAAAGATTTTACCTGAAATTTGGTTTTAAATTAGTGAAAACTAGTTACATATACACATTGGTAAATGTGAATACTTGATGAATGGCATAACTTGATGAAATGGCATTTAAAGGGTAAATTGATGATGCAAAGCTTTATTTTTCTGAAAGTGAAATCAAAGAAAAAAGGCAGTATCCTTACCATGTCTTGGTTGTTCCCTTTGGACCCAATCTTGGTTATAGTTCCTCTGTTGTGTCTCACTTGCCGTGTTCTGGTACACTCTGGCTGCGTCTCTCCCGTTCTGTTGGGTGATAGCATTGTTATTACGGTTCCCTGTTGTGTGGATGTGGTGTCCAGCGTAGCCCGACGAGGGTTTCGTCGATCCCAGGTAGGGGGTGGGAGTCTGCGATCGGTAACGGGAGCTGCTGACCTCTGCCGGACGTGACGTGGACGTGAAACCAAGGGGCGTGGAGCTCCGCCCCACCGTAGCGTAACCCGATGTATAGCCAACCTGTGATTGATTCCAGTCTTTGTGCACAGGAGGAGCAGAGGTTTGGTGTCCTGATGGTTCCAAGGAGGATCCCTGAGGTACACCGTGTCCTTGTGGCACCCGTCCCTGTCCATTAGAAGGGTCATGCTGGATCCGACTGTGTCCATGTCCCATCGGAGCGCCTGATGTCATACTGGTAGCTGATCCATACTGCATGGTCTGATTGCCACTCGTTCTATTACGCTGCAGGGAAGGTGATGATGGGACGCTCTGATACTGCCGAGGTTGATAGCCGCTCCTTGACGAATCAGTCTGTTCGGTAGAACTCTTCTGTCCATACAGTCTGCTGGTGTCCTGTACCGATGATAGGTCTTCCACTCGCTTCTTCAAGAGCGCTATCTGCTGCATTGAGTCCTGCTCTTGTCGCTGCATTTCTTCCCTGCTATCCATCCTCACAATTGGTTTGTCTCTGTTTCAATCACACACAAAAAAAATCATAACAAGGAATGGTACTTCAAAAAGCTCCTGTTTAAAGAAAATATATAAACACTTTGCAGATTAGTATAGTTTTCTGAACGGTCATTTCTACTTTCTCTCTCTCTCTCTCTAAGTGCCATATCATTTTACTTTGGCGATCATGCTGTTCCACAACCCTCCGCTCCTAACCTTCTGTATTAGTACCACTCCCAGTTTTTTCACTCCTCTCTCTTCCAACAATTTCTGCAGACTGTCCATCCAAAGTATCCAAGATTCTGTAGGCCTTCTTTACGTGTAATGTGACCCATGAACTCCAACTGCCTAATCATCATCTCACGTATCATTTTATCGCACCCAATACTGTTACTTGGAGCTAGTTCTGTGACTAACTTTTCATAAACCCCAGTGACTAGTCTTTCATTCTACCTTGAATAGTCTGGCTTTGGAGGTGCAGGTGGAGTGAGCTTGTTGTGGATGTTTCTGTCCCCTTCTGATCTTCTAAGTAAGGTCAATCGGCGATGCAACCCTCGTGATTTCAGCACGGTCGTATTGTACTTGGTCTGCAGGAATAGCTTGGTCTGGTCTTTCAAGCCATCTTGGCGCAACGCAATCTTTAACGTCGCTACAGGTATAAAGAGAAAGGGTATTGAAATAGTAATAGTAATAAAATTTGATATGTTTATAATGATAATAATAATAATAGAAACCAATACGTTCTCATATACGATGCACATTCTTCTATAAAGACCATTGAATATGGCGTGCCTCAAGGTTCTATTTTAGGTCCGTTACTTTTTATTGTATATATTAATGATTTTAACATGTCTTCAACAACCCTGTCTTTTCTTTTGTTTGCTGACGATTCTAGCATTTTCTTTTCTCACAACCTAATTTTCATACCCTTTACAAAAGTGAGCAGTGCTCACCCAAGTATGAATTTTTTTCGGACTTTTTGGTGTGATATGAAAGTTGAGTTTATGAGCTTTCCATACATATAAAACTTTCCCCCCAGAATCAAATATTTTTTATTCGGCAGCCATTTTGAAAGTGTATAGTTTTTTGGGGGACGCACGGTATAGCCCATATATCCTTCATGCAAGGTGCTTAAGACTCTGCTAGGCTACCAATTCAGTGCTCACAGCATTCAAGGAATTCTTTTCCTCCAGTACCCATTTAACACCTGGGTGGAGAGTGGCAAATGTAGATTAATGTCTTGCCAAAGGACATTAGTGGGACTCGACCTGCAAACTATGTCACCCACAGTCCTACAAATCCACCAAACTTTTCACATTTTATCATGAAGAGAAAAAATATTACGTTTAACTTTGTGCCCATTCTTATTATGTTCATCATTATTTTATTCTGCAATAAAGAAAATACATATGATATCAGAAAAATGACAAATGAAAAAATAAAGATAAAAGATAATACATGTACTACCACTGGAACATCAAGGACTGAGTTAACCTAATAATTGTGGTATGTTTTGTTACAATAATAACTGCTGTTTGTTACCTGGAATTTTACAAGGAAACTGGTAATAACATCCTTTCATCCTTTAATTTGCACGAAATCATGCTTGCTTTACACATCTTTTTGAGGAAAATGTACAGTGGTACGTTATATGCCACCGTACTGGTGCTGTGATACCCAGTGAATACAGCTTGAATAGGGTTCAAGGTTTACTCTCACTTTGTAAAACTTAAATTGCAAAGTGCATGCAATTTTGGGTACTGCTGATATTTATTCATCTCTCAGACAATTATAGTGTATCGGAGATACAAATTTCATTATTACAGGTTTCTGAAAGCTTTTTCAAATATTTCAAGATCTATTCTTCTCATTTTAAAATTCAAAATTCTCACTCAATTTTCAATCATATTCATAGTGAATAGGTAATGCATCATATACACTATTATTGCAGTTTTCCTAGTTATCTGTTTGACAGAAACCATGAAGTTTTATAATAAATTATATTAGTTTCACTACATCATAATGATACTTCATAACAGAATGGGTAATGAAGGGGGGTGGACTTACAAGCTGCTGCTGTGCAGAGACCAAGTGCTAATGCCAAATCCCCTTCCTCTTCAGCCTTCTTGGATGAGAGTAACTGTTCTTCAACACCCTGCATGAATTCAATGACTACATCCTCAGATCCTTGAGTTCTGCGGTCTGATTTGTCGGCTGCAGCAGGTGTGAACTGCTGACCAAGTTGTCTTGTAGGCGTTTGAGGTCTTTGGGCATCGCCTCTGTAACTTGTCTGATGGTGCATGGGTGACGGTTGATTCTTATCAAAACCCTGGTGCACGTGTCCATACTTAGAGATATCTTTATCATGGGAATTACTGGACGCTGAAGCCGTTACACTTGGTGGTGGAACATCGGAAGCATGTCCATCCAGAGAATAGACACTTCCGGAGCTTGCGCTTGACCTGTCTCGACTCCTGTAACCGGAGTCCCTGCTCGCGATGGAATCAATGTCTAAACCCTTGCTGACGTGCACCTCAGGTGTTTGTCTCATAGTGAGTCCTTCATGGTGGGATGTCCCTTGTGAGCTGTTCTCGGTGCTAGACGACTGATGGTACGTCGTGTCTCTTTGTGGAGCAGAACTGTACCCTATTCCACCACTGCTACTCATCAAGCTCTGCTTATTACTACTTGGTCTGAACTGATTAGCCTGTTTCTTTCCTGGTAGGGTCAGGAACTTATTCTGTATGTTGTACTTTGCCCTGGCTTGCTTATCTTCAGGATTTTGAGTAACCGATGATGATCTCATTAGTGGTATGTGACGTCCATCACGCTGTTGATTCTGCGTTGGAGTTGGTTCACAATTACGGATTGCCGTATCTAGTATACCTCCTGCAGATACAGGCTGGTCTAACGAGGGGGAACGCTTCATTGACCTTGATCCTGCAGGAGGGTTTGTCCTCGAAAACTGTTTCCCAGGTATATCATCATGAGGATTCATCTGCCGCTGCAGGTCTGGCACACTTGAATACTTGGGAAACTGTCCACCATTGGAACTTGTATAGCTTGCATTTGAATTCAGTCCTCTAGAGTGATTTGCATCGGATTTCAAATCAGGGTTACTACTATGGGAATCTTGATATCTGTCAAGAGGTTTGATAGTCAATGAACTTGCTCTTTGGACAGAGGAAGTTCTCTGGACGGGATCTCCGGTATATTGTCCACTAGAACCATTACTCCAAGATCCTTGTCTGACCACATTAGTCTTTGGGGGTTGTTGATTTGGAGCTAGAACATTAGTTGGGTTCATAGTGGCATCTTGAGGTCCCTGTCTTACACTGAATTCCTGTAGAGGTTTGATGTTCAGTTGCCTGTTTTTCTGTGCTACAGGGTCACGTTCAACTTCGGTTGCAAAGTTACCATAAGGCTCAAAGGTGAGGCTATGTTGAGGCATGTGTTGAGGAGACTGTGCTTCTTTATGCCCGGTGATCATTCCTGTCTTGGCATTGTACATTGCTCCTCCCTGAGAGCCGGTATCTGTCCTTTGTGAGGCTGAATCATTTGTACTCACAACAGAAGAGGAAACTTGTCTAACCGATTGCCTACTGATCTTAGACTGTGCTGAAGATGGTCTTCGACTCTGCTGTGGTGACATCGGCTGGATCCTCTGACCGTACGATAAATCCTTAGCAGATGAAGGTCTCTCGGTCTGGTTCCCTCCATTCTGGACTCTAGGCATTGTCTTGGAACCAGTTCCTCTGTCCGCAGCTTCATCGTGTCCTTGTAGAGCAAACTGAGAGATGGCATAGCTTCCTTCACCAGGCTTCTTCATAGGCACATAGTTCAGGGCATCATGCCCTATCTCGACAATGGAATTTGGAATCCAACTAGCCCTGGTTGCATTTGCGACAGACCCGTCATTACCGATCGTCCAATCGGCTTCGTTTCTCCTGCTGTCCCTGGAGGATTCACCCTTTGGAGGCGTCCTGATCTCCGACGTTGCCTGGAACTCAGGGACTGTCCCCACTGGCTGATAGACCAAGGTATTCTGGGAATCGTTGGAGCTTGCACTCTGTCCACTCATGGTGCTACTGTTACTGTTACCATGGTAATGATGGATTGGGATGGGTTCTTCTGGCTCGGTGAGGACCTTGAGTAACAGTGATTCCTCAGGTTTGTTTGGGTGGACAAGTGGTCCTCCTGAAATGATGGATAATGGAAACATTTTTAGGCCAATGATTTCACAGTGTGTTTCACCCATTGCTTAAAGTTGCTCATGCTTGGGTACATAGAGGGCAGCACACTGAGCCAACAAGTATTACGCTCCCGTGCGTACTGGTGTACCTTTATGCGTATGTCTGTACGGGAGCGTAATACCCGTTGGCTCAGTGTTATGTAGTGATCGCCAAGTTGCCTACTTTACGAACGACTGTATACCAACGCATAAATATTTCTAACATCGCATGCTGAGTTTACAGACCACTTGGAACTTACGACCAAATCAATTTTTTAAATTACAACATGCGAATTGAAAAAAGCTAAACAATAAATTAATGTCTAAAGAAGAGTGTACTAATATTACTGAATTATGAAAGCTTCACAGGAGAACTGTGTTCATTTCAAAATTAAAATTATGAAACATTAAAGAACAAAGTACCAGCATGGATATTCAAAACTATAATATGAAAAGCCTATTAAAGTACAGGTTTCAATGACAATCACTATTCAAGATAAACAGGATATGTGGTCATTATAGACAGGTGGTCACAAAAGCAGGTTTTACTGTATTTTATACTTGACAAATATCAATGGCACTAAAAAAGAGCGTTGATTTTCCTTATGTCCTTCATGATTTTCTCTCCTTTGGAAAACAATAATGAGCAAAATGTTTCACAAGATTATAGTAATAGGAAACTGACCATTTTCCTTGTCATCTTTGTCGTATCCTTTGAGCATAGTTATGCGCTTGGGGGCTGTGACCGTTGACACTGCTTTACCATCAGGGTATGCGTACAGAAGTAACAGAGGCTGAAAATGACCTCTCCGACATCTATCCACAACATCAGACCAGTTATGACCAACCTATTCAAAGAAAAGATAAACATCAAATTACCAATGTCCAATCATGTGATGAGAAGGGAAGGTGATGAACCTGAGAAAAGAGCGTGGGATCTGAAAGACATAGTGGATGGCATAAGAGGGAAAGGAAGACACTAGATTTCAGGGAAAGATATGTTGAGGAAAGAAAGCAGTAAGGTTGGTCTAAATAAGGAGGATGCTAAAGACAAGAAGTGGAGGGAGGGAGGGAATGTCATCATGGCGCGAAAGTCAGTGATTGGGTAGGCTCTATTGTGGCTTGACTAAATTTTACCAACTATTAAAGCCGGACTGCACTACTTGTAGCTACTTGCGCCCTCTATATATCAAACAATGCCTAAGTGGTAACCGTTGGTCCCACAAGATCCCCTTTTCATTATGTTTGTTGAGAGCTGATTTGATGAGATAAACACTTGTCAGTGAACAAGCAAGGTAGTCTAATCCGTCCTGGTAAAACTAGTTCAGACAGGCTTTAAATAAAAGATGTCCTTAGTGAGTAAACTGGCTACGAACTTTATTTTGATCACATATACTCAGTCTGTTGTTTGAAACTATTAACAGAAATACTTACCCAGGAGTTTGCAGCATATCTATTATATGGCGCCCCTCCAACAGAGTTAGAGCATGTATAGAGCTTGACACATTTTCATGCCTATTGATTTAGAATATGTCATACACTGTGAGATAAATATATATATGCAGTATCTGTGATTTCAACCTTGAAACGTCTGCTATTAACAAAATGCCAGATGCTATTTTCCCAGCCATATATCTACAGGCAATCCAAATTTTGCAATATCGAAATGTGCAAAGTGGGACCTCTTCATGATTTTGAAGATCTGTGGATATTCGGGGTCATTTGGGGCATGTTGCTAACCGTCAACTGGGGCCTGTTTCATCAAACTTTTTATCTATAACAAATACTAAATTTCTATGACAAATTTGCTCTCAGCCAATCAGATGCCACGATTTCAGTAGCTTATAACAGTAGCTTGTAACTTGTTATTGATATCAAGTTTTATGTAACAGGGCCCTGGTCTATTGCCTCCTGATTGTCAAGCCTCTAATCAGGGCGGTGAATAGCCGTTTGGTTTACAACCTGGGGGGTGTTTCACAAAACTTGTCATAAGTGACATATGACAGTTGTTGTTATAAGCTACTGAAATCCTTGCTTCTGATTGGTTATCAGCAGATTTGTCACTGATATCTGTCATTTGTCATTGAAAAAAGGCTTTGTGAAACGGGTCCCAGATCGTCTACTACCCAATTATTCTATTCCCATTTGGTCTACACTACCCAACCTGTCTACTATCCACATGATTTAATAATCATTTAGTCTACTTATCTTTTGGTCTAATGGCCAATTTAATTAGGCTAATAGTCATTTAGTCTAATAATCAGTTAGTCTAATCCCCAGTTTGTCTAATGCCCATTTCGTCTACCATCCATAAGTTCTAATAATCATTTCGTCTACCGGGTACTTATCTTTTGGCTAATTGGGCTAAAAGTCATTTAGTCTTAATATTCTAACTCCCAGTGTGTCTAATGCCCATTTTCGTCTACCATCCATAAGTTCTAATTTAATCATTTTATGATTATTATTATTTATGATAAAATGTTTATTAAACCATGGATAGTAGGCGAACTGGTTGTAGACCGAACGGCAATAAACCACCAGGGCTACATGGGTGTAATATCGTCTGTTTGGAGCTAGAAGGACATTAATACATATCATTTTACACAGAGATAAACTCCCTTCTGGCTCCAAATAGATGGCATTACTGATTCCAGGGGAGTGTTTCACAAAGACTAAGATCAACTTAAGTTGGACTTAACTATGGCAAGCCATTCATGCCACTGTTTGCTCTCACCATTATGAGCTTTAGATACATTTTTCTTCCTTAAATAATTAATTATCAAAAAATATAAATTTTGTAGATATGTGACTATGATTTGTACATCTCTTGAGACACCAATGCCAGTAAACGGTGAGAGCAAACAGTGGCATGAATGGCCTGCCATAGTTATATCCAACTTAAAGTTGAACTTAGTCTTTATGAAACACCCTCCAGGGGGGTGTTTCACACAACTTGTCATCAGTGACAACTGACAGTTGTTGTTATGAGCTACTGAAATGCTTGCTTCTGATTGGTTATCAGCAGATTTTTATTAGATTTTTGTCATTTGTCATTGAAAAATGGCTTTGTGAAACGGGTCCCAGGTTACTTACCTGTTTGACAACAGCATCATCGAAGTAGACCCAGTATCTTAGGTTGGTATTATAGAAGAACGTGGTGTAATGCCTGCCGTAGTAGGTCACAAGACCGACCAGGAAAAGGCTGTTAGCCTTAGCCCTATCATCCACAGTGTCATCAAAGAGCTGCATGGGAATAAGAATGGGAATATTGACTATACACTGTTTTGTATACAAAAATTTCAAGGCTCCGACTCGCAGGCCCAGGTTTAAAATCAGCTCACTGATCTCACATTCTTATTCATATTGTCCAGAAACCTTGCGAGTCTTCTCATTCTATAATATATCCCAAGTTTGCCACTCAATATTCAAAGGTCCATCTTTGTTTTTATCTTCTTATATCAAATTGAAATCCAACTACCACATACATCTGTAAATTTGGATGTACACCCCCTCTTTCTTCTTTTTCCTTCTCTCCTATTCACCATTATTTTTTTCCACCATGTTTGTATTATTATGTATCCATTGAGGTTAGTCATGCTATCAAGCTTTACTTTGTCAACCCTCCTGTTTGATGTTTTCGATTAGTTACAGCCAGCCTCACTTTATTCTACATATATTCTTTTGTCATGTGCAAAATTTGCGATGTTTTGTTTGTTATATATTTGTAAAACTGCGAAAGAAAAAGAAAAATCAAACAGAAATAAATCAATCAATCAAATCAAATCAATAATGAAGAGGAAAGTCACTGTTCATCTGTCCATGTTCTATTTTTTGATCAACAGATTACAAAAAAGGAAGTCTACAAAAATATGATGGGGATTGAAGAGTAGATGTAAGATGGTCTTTAGGTCATCTACCTTGTTTTTCTACACAAGAAGAAGAAACAGAAGAAAAAGAAAAAGAACAAGAAGAAGAAAAAGATGTAGAAGGTGAAGAAGAAGAAGAAGAAGAAGAAGGTGAAGAAGAAGAAGAAAGAGAAGTGATATAAAGTGTATGGGTAACAGGTTTACCTCTCTGAGTTGAATAGTTGTACCCAGATTACAGATGACATCTGTTATATGATCAATATCAGGCTTGTCAGAATCCCAGATCAGTCCAATACTCACTGTAGCAAGAAAACAGGGGAAATAGAGTTATTATAATCATCATCGTCGTCGTTGTCATCATCATCATCATCATCATCATCATCATCTTCTTCATCATCATCATCATCATCATCATCATCATCATCACCATCATCATCATCATCACCATCATCACCACCATCATCATCATCATCATCATCATCATCATCATCATCATCACCATCATCATCATCATCATCATCATCATCATCATCATCATCACCACCACCACCACCACCACCACCACAACCACCATCATCATCATCATCATCATCATCATCATCTTCTTCTTCTTCATCATCATCACCACCATCATCATCATTATTCTTCTTATTATTCTTCTTATTATTATTATTAAGTGTTTGGTGTCATCTGTGCCTGGGGGCGAAAGTGAACTGAATCATTGTAACCCTTGCGTCTCTCTTCTTGGTATAACTGATGGGAGTGTGCAGGTGGACCACTTCACCAGGATTTCCCCCTACTCTTATTGCCAGTGTAACTAGTAAGCGCTATACTTAATCTAATGATTATTATTATCAATAACTTTAGAATCATGTTATCAAAGACAACACTAAAATAATTCAATCATAAAAAAAATAATCAGGCTGTACTCACCGACATTGGGACAATCCACCTTATCATAATTATTATTAAGCGCTATACCACTTTAAAATCTTTATTATCAATAACTTTAGAAAAATATTTAATCAACATTGGGACAATTAATGAGTATTCTCCTGATTCTCGTGATGTGGATCTACGTAATTAACTTTATAATTATAATTATCAATAAATTTAGAATCATGTTATCAAAGATGATTTTGTAATCATCTGATCAGAAAAGAATTCAGGCTGTACTCACCGACATCAGGACAGTTCATGAGTATTCTCCTGATATGGATGTTCTTACCACATGAACTCTGTCAAAATAAGATGAAGACAATTCTTATTCAAATGGAACATTTCTCTGTAAATATTGTCCATTGTAAATATCAAATTAAACATCGTAAAAAAGCTCAAATGTCAAATAACTATGTATATTTTGATGAGACTAACCTACATTAGCATTATGCTAGTTTGTTAGTCCTTTTTACAAAAAATGTCTACGTACACTGTTATATCTATATCTGTTTGTGAAATGAATTTCGGTAATAAAAGATAAAATTAAATCAAATCAAATCAATAAACACGATGGGAACAGAACAATATTATAAGTTACTAAAAAGATGTATCTGTAATACATCTTTGTATATCCTGTTTTGATTGGTAAACCGAGCACTTCAGGAAACATACCAGTTTTGAGATCATGGTACTTACAGATTTAAACTGAAAATATCTTAAAGATAAACTTTAGTACTGGTAATGCGATTGCGTTGTGAAAGAAAAGGTGTGGAAAGGATCAGAAACAGTTGATCATGTAGCATGTAAGTATTGGTGTGCACTGCAAGGTTCTAGAGTCATCAAAATCATAATAAATTTGACCGAGTCTTGGTAAAGTAACAAGCACTCACATAGAAAGCTATATATGGGACAACACAGTGGTGTCGGGGCTAGTACTACCTTGATTTCCTTGTCTTTCTATGCTCATTACTCAGCCAGTATACATTTTCTTCCAAAATTGTTTGGCACAAGTCATTTATTTGTAATCTTGAACATTCAGTGTAAGTTTCGTTTGATTCTGTGAGAATTTTTTTTTTTTTTTTTACCAGTACTGGAGTTTATATTTTTAATTAGCCCTAAAGGGCAATCCAACCTTTGTAATGAGTTATTTTAACGAAAGCTGGAAAATCAGAGAAACAGACCAATAACAAGAAAGTTGTGAATGCTTGAAATATGAGATCCCTACATCTATACGAATCTCAAATTGGCAATTTGGTTAGTGGATTGTGACATAGTCACAAATAACTCTCCCATTTATTATGCACAAAAATATCACTAATTTCGGTTTTGCTCCCAAGTGCCATCACCCTTGGGGCACTTCTCAAAATATATTATGGAGAGTATATTATTACAGACCGTCTAACAAAAAAAGACCACCCCAAGTCATACATATTAAAGAAAAAACATTACCAATTTAAGCCAATTTGCAGTGCCCATACTTATAGTGATTCCAACTTTCACAAATTCCTAATTTTCTCATTTTTTGTCAGATTTTGTTTAAAGCGCGTCTGTACTAGTGGACAGGAGGGATTAGACCACCTAGCGAGGTAACTGACAGGTGGCTATCTCATCAACTCAGCTCTCAATTAATATAAGAAAAAGAGGATAATGGGGGACCAACAGGCACCGATTAGGCATTGTTTTCTATATAGAGGGAGCAAGTAGCTACAAGTAGTACAGTGGGCCTTTAAAAACTTTCACAAGTCAGATTCTCTGATTTTCCAGCTTTTTTTAAAGGTTTGGTTGTTTTTAGGTTTGGATTTCTTGTGAACTACTTACAGGACATTTCCTGACATCACCGATAGCACCAGCTTTCCTCAGCAGAACTCCAAAATGATCTGTGTTCGGCCAGACTCTTTCCTTCCTCATCCTGCTAGCTTCAGTACTGTAACAAACAAAGAGAAAGTTATTAATCTTTCCTATTCACCAGTTCTCCCATTCATCTCTTTGCATGTATACCTCCTTTCCAGTGCAATGTGATTCTCTCTCTCTCTGTTGAGAAACGGGCCCCAGGCTGTTACTACATCATGTATATGAAAAGTTGCTCTGATCTCCCCTCTCTCTCTTCCTCCATCAAGTCTATATCTCCCTCTCTCTACGTACCCCCCCCCCCTTATCTGTCTTTCCATTTCACGGTCCTCTCTTCTCTCTCTCTCTCTCTACTGCCTCCTTTGTTTTTTTGGAGCCTTATTTGTCTAGTAATGTTTAAATGATCTATGCTTTTTTAATTATGATGTCAAGAAGTCCATTATTTGTTTTGACAATGGAAGCTGATTTTCTGATGTTTTTGAAATATGGGTCAATAAATAATCTGAATCTGAATTTTGTCTGTCTACAATGACCTGAACCTTTTTGTTTTCTGCATTGTGAAATGATGATAATGATGACGATGATGATGATGATAATGATGATGATGATGATGATGATCATCATGATAATGATGACGACGAGGACGACGACGACGACGATGATGATGGTGATGGTGATGATGTCAATAATGAAGATGATGATCATGATAATGATAATAATGATGATGATGGTGTTGTAAGCGCTCAAAAGTATACACTGTACATGTTTTATACCATAGTTTGTCTCAAAACAGGAGATATTTATCTAGACAGAAAGACATGGAAAGAAAGAGATGGAGAGAGAAACAGAAAGAGAAAGAGAAGGAGAAAGAGAAAGAGAGAAAAGGAGAGAGAAAAGGAGAGAGAGAGAGAAGTTGAGAATGACATACACAGATAGATGAGAGAAGGAGAGAAAGAGGGTGTGTCATCACTTACCACAGTGTTGTGCTGGACACATAATGGACCATCTGGGTGAAGGGGAAAGGTTCTGATGTAGCACCACATTTGCAAATACTCTGTAATAAAGAGAAATATGATGTTGTTAACATGTAAAGCCTATCTGCACTAGTTTGGCCAGGAGGGATTAGACCTCCCTGTGTGGTCACTGGCAGGTGGTTATCTCATCAAATCAGCTCTCAATTAACATTTAAAAAAGGGGACCATGGGGGATCAACAGGTACCACATAGGCATTGTTGGCTATATAGAGAGCGCAAGTAGCTGCAAGCAATGCAGTAATGTTTAATGCTTTAATGCATTTTGATAAGAATGTAACCCATCGAAGTCAATATCTTACAACTGATAGAATTTTCTGTTCACAGACAGACAGAATATTGCTTTATTTCAAGCTTTACATGAAGATGTGTGTAATGAGAATAACATATTACAGTTAAATGTTTTCTCTCTCATTCTTTTCATTTTCACACTCCTTTTGTTTTTAATATGGTTTTTACTTCAATCTCTGAGTTAATGAGTGGATTAAATAGTTAAAGTAATACCTATTTTTTGTTAACATCTTTTACAATAGAATGTCATGTTATATATTATTTATTGAGGCTCTACACAAATACAATACCTGTCTATTAAGGTCACCCACAGGAAACTGATAGGCTGGCTACTGCACACAGATGGCCTTTCTAGGCAGGTTCTACAAAACATGCTTCGTCTAATACAGGAGGGCAATCTAGGCGACCACTACAGCCAGGTGGCATTTATGAGGTGGCCACTAAGACAGCTTTGAATGTATGTGCCAAAGGAAATGGCAATATGTATACTCACATGTTCAATAAGTGTCATAGCAAACTTGCGATGAGGGATGCAATGTTTTGCATCACATAGGTCCTCCTTGATATTATGAGCTAGATGGAAGTGGATCCGCACCAGAATGTTTTCCTTGAATAGAAAACAGAACAATAAAGACGTTTTTTACATACATGAATTATTTGAAGGATTTTTAAAGTGTGTTCTGATGTGAGCTATAGGGAAGAAAATTATAGTAAAATAGTAGTGTTGAAAAGAATAACTAATACATACTGTGACTTCATATGCCTAGACACTCTGAATTCTTGTTAAGATATGAACAGTAAACCTGGGTGTTTTTTCTCAAATGTGTAAACTGATGTAAGTCCAACAAAGAACCTCTGCATATTTGCTGAGTTCTGTGTGTTTAGATACTGAAAAGTAAAAAGTATAAAGACATCCTTACATAAACATTTTTAAAATGCTATTTACCGTGGGATACCTGAATGGGGTTTAAGATATTGATACAAAAAGTATTTTAGGATTTTTTTTAAAACTTGATATCATCACTGTGAAAAGAGAGGTACAGTATCTGTCAAGAAACTCCCCATCCAAGAAAAGAGACAAATTTTACCCCCTCCCCTCCCCCCAGTCATTATACTTACAAAGCATTATACAGAACATTATGCTTTCCAATATAAAACCATTCTGCAGCATAATCAATACATCTTAGTAAGAATATCTGGAATTGTAGCATATGCACCAACCCCTGCCCCACCCTTGCCCTGCCCCCATCCCAGCCATTAAACCACGAAGCACTCAGCAACATAGTTAATATGTCCTAATTGGAAGCTTAGCTGATGCCCATCCCCCCCCCCCCTCCTAACTCTACTCCCACCCCTGCCCCATCCTAGCCACTATACTTACAAAGCATTCTGCTGCATCATCCATGCATCCTAGCTGAAAGCGTAGCTGATCTTTGAAAGCAGTAGCAAGAGCCTTTCTCAGAGCATCAGCCGGTAATGCAGTCTCCTCACTGTGCTGTAGCTGGATGAATAACGCCTAAAGAAAAAAAAATAACCCACTCATTACTGAACTCTCTCACTGCCATAGGCTTAAAGGGGAAGTCCACCCTGAAATTAAGTTAGTTTTAATAGGAGTAGAAAAATGAGAGAAACAAGTCAGTGAAAGTTTGAGCAAATTCCAATTAAAAATAAGGAAGTTAGGATTTTTTAAGTTGTGATCAATCAAACACAAATTGGCAACTCTATGACGTATCATGCGAGCTCAACTTCCATTTGCTCAGTACTAAAAAAAATCTAAAATTTTCATTTTCCCTCAAGAAAAATTTAAACCATACATGCACCCTAAATATAATAATTGCAAATATGTTTCTATACTCCCCCTGCAAGGAACAAATATATATTCCGTCATCAGTAACGAAGAAAACATGATTTTATGGAATATTATGCACAAAGCAAATGAAGGAGAGCTCGTATAATAAGTCACAGAGTTGCCAATTTGTATTTGATTGATCACAACTTCAATAATTCATAACTTTCTTATTTTCATTCAGAATTTGCTCAAACTTTCACTCACCTGATTTTCTTATTATTCTGCCTCTATCGAAACAAACTTATTTTGGGGGTGGACTTTCCCTTTAATACAGGGACCACCCGGTTCCAGTAGGCTATGGGTTAAAGCCTGTCTGTACTAATTTGGCCAGGAGGGATTAGACCACCCAGCGTGGTCACTGACAGGTGACTATCTAATCAACTCAGCTCTCAATTAACATAAGAAAAGAGGATCATGGATGACCAACGGGCACAGCTTAGGCATTGTTTTCTACATATGTATATAGAGGGAGCAAGTAGCTACAAGTAGTACAGTGGGGCTTTAAACAGTTTGACTAGATACATTTCTATTGCAATACACTGATTCATGTATGAAGGCTGACTAAAGCATCAGTGCCTAAACTTCATTCACTTATATCCATTTCTGTATTATAATCATTTTGTATAATCACATATTCAAGTGGAATATAATTGATGTCAAATGGAATCGAATAAAGATCATGGAAAATAAAAGTGCCATCTTAGAACGGCATATCCACATTCTTTTCAAAACTTTTTGAAACAGCTATCCTACTGAAATGGTTCAGGGGCAAAGTTATGATCGAAAAAGCAACATGGCATTTCTTCTCCTACATGGCTACATGTAATGCGATTGAAAAATCAAATTTTAAAAAATGAAAATTTCTATATACAGTACAGTCAAACCTATCTATATAGCGACCGCCCAAGGAAAAGACAAAAAGTGGTCTTTGTAGACAGGTGGTCTTTGTAGACAGGTGATCTTTGTGGACAAATTCCTAATAGTGCATGTTTCAATGAGAAACCATTTTGAAGGGAGAAAAAAAATGTGCTTGTTGTAGACAGGTAGTCTTTGTAGACAGGTGGTCACTAAAGCAGGTTTGACTGTTTGTATAACAAAGTAAAATGTCGTATTTCATTGGTTTCCTCAAATCAGTGAAAGTAAGTTGGAAATACAATAAAGCCTACATTTTTATATTATGGAGGCTACTTTTGTATACTTGACGACATTAAACACCATCATCATACCCATGTACATGTAGAGTTTTCATGACTTGTGTAAAATGTACGGAAACTGAAAACTCCTGCGTTCTCATTGTAGTACATATACTGTACATGTTTCTGGAGACAACTTGGACTGTTTTTTTTTCTCCCAATGAAAAGAAAACAAATCGATGTTTATCTATGTAGCACAGAATGCTGTGGTACAGTATGTATTAGTCTGCATGAATGCTTTCAAAAGTATCATTGTAGTTTCAGAACAGGATTCCATATCAAAATTAAAAATGATCTATTCAAACAATCATACAGACAAGTAATGAAGGCATATACAGTATCATCTGTTTGGAGCCAGAAGGGTGTTAAATCAAATACTTTGACACTTTGTTTATGCCCTTTTGGCTCTGAACAGACAATGACATAGAGAATACGAAACTCTACTGAGATAACATTATGATATCAGGGGAGTGTTTCACAAAGACTAAAATCAACTTTAAGTTGGACTTAACTATGACAGGCTGTTCATGCCACTATTTTCTCATCATTTACTGGCATTGGTTTCTCAAGAGACGTACCAATCATTGACACAAATCTACAGAATTTCATTTTTTGATAGTTCATTATTGAATGAAAAAATATTATCTAAAGATCATAATTGAGAGACCAATGGAGAGAGCAACCAGCGGCCTGCCATAGTTAAGTCCAACTTAAAGTTGATCTTAATCTTTGTGAAACACCCCCAAGGAAGAGAAGGAAATTATTACAGGTGCATGACTGAGAGTATGTACATGCCTTTTTAATTTTGTCTCACCTTACAAATATCATAAAACAGTGAAACCTGTTTAAGCAAAAACCTGTATGTGAAGACCACCTGCATAAGATCACATTTCCTGTTTCCTTGAGTAGTGTTTCTCATTGAAGCATACATACAATTGACCTGTACATAAAGACCACTTGCCTATAAAGATGGGAGAATCCACAAACTACAAGCACTGCTTTTTAGTGGACCCCCCTAAAAGTTAACAAAATGTGGAATGCCTGTCACAAAAAGGGTATAATACTGTACTCATACAAACTACGGTATTCAATATTCAAGTTACATCATGAAGTAAATATAATGGATGAATTAAGTGGAATCTCAAGAAAAGAAACCTGAAAATTAGGAGAATGATTAGTTTACCTTTAATGCACAGAAGATACACGATGTGCCCATACAGGCATGGCCATGCATCTCACGGAAACTCCTCCGGAATACATCCAGATGCCATAATACCTAGAATATAGCAAGAAAAAAACGACACTTTAATATTTTTCATTACATATAATAGAAATATTTTCAAGCAATACACTTATTCAGACAAAATATATATGTTACACTGCATCCATCATTTTATAATAAAAGAACATTTCATAATGCTACGGTCACAAAGTTCGTACGAACGATAATTTTGTACGAATCCCCGTTTTTCCATTGTCTTACCGAATTTCCATTGTCTGAAAATCGTTCATACGGCGTTCGTAGCAGTTCGTAATGGCATTTGTGACCGAGGCTTTACTTAAAAGGAATACACATTTCTTTTTAAAGTCAAACAGACAAAATAGAGTTTCTTCATTACAAACAAAAAATGAAGAAAATGTGGAAAAGTCAATGATACTATAAGTACTTTTGATGTACATGTACATGTATATGTACCTGTACACAGGTAAAATGCGAGTTAAGAATGCCTACATTTTTGACAAATTATACATTTGTTTAACATGTTCAATATTTTGTTTGGTGAGGATTTAGGACCAGATAGATATATGTACCCAAATTATTGTGTTTCTCTCATCTATCTTACAAAACGCTTATTCAACCCATATACATGTAAGGTACATGTACTAGCAGTTCAGTATCTCATTTTAGTGACATTTTATCATAAATTTTGACCCAGAATTGTAGGAATGGTACATTGTACATGAGCAGAATGAGCAAAAATTAAAACAACAAAATTTGGGTCAATTTTCATTGCAGTATGTTTATTGTGTCGTTCATAAAAAAGAATGATTTAATTGTTTGTATGTACATGTAATCATTGCAGTCGTTAAATTGGCACTGGGGTGTGAAATATAACAATCACTATTTTGTGTACAAATTGGCAATTTCTTGTTGTCATAATCAGTCATTTTCATCCGCAGCGGTTCATCTTATATATATTCATATTTATTTTGTCAACGATATAGTGGGAAATAAAATTTCAAAAATAGATTTATAAGTAGTTAGCCCTTCAAAATATCGTGAACTGTTCTTGAACCATTACATCCACGACCTTTACAATCAAACAGCAGAATCCCATGTACATGTACATGTACATCTACTACATGTACATCTACTACATGTGCATTTTGAAATTACCTGTGTAAATGTAGGCCTGCTTAAATGTAATCTAGAAAATAGCCAAATGTATGCGAGAGATTGGTTCATTTTGTTCCAATCAAGCGGCTTAAATTGTGATTTCGTGGTATAACCATTTGGTGTTTATCAATTTAGTGATTAAACTAATCGGTTCTCGAACTATCAAATCTACAACCTTTACAATCAAATAGTGTGTATCCCATTTAGATGCATTTTGAAATTACCAGTGTAAATGTCGGCCTGCTTATATTTAATCTAGAAAATAGTCAAAAGCATATAAGATGGGTTCATTTTGTTCCAATCAAGCAGCATAAATTGTGATTTCGTGGTATAACCATTTGGAGTATATCAAGCAATTTAGTGATTAAAACTACTCAGACAAAAGTAATGCCTTCTCCCAGGAGTGCCATTTACATGGATTACAGATATACCTAATGGCTCATAGCAAAGAGGATTCCCTCTTAATATGTTCATACACAATTGAATGCTTTGGTGTGTTGATGAGATGGAAAAAGAGTCCACGCTCTTATATCTCTTTTAATTTTGATTTTTCTTCCATGTGTTCTGGCCATTATGCATTGTCACTTTGGTGCTGTTAAAGCTTAATATGGCATCTTACAAAAATGAATTCAAATAATGATTTTGAAATGAAATGTAGAACAGATCTACATTGAAGATAAAGTCAATGGTCATGCATGCAAATTTACATATACATACGTACAGCAAGGGACAAATGTATTTTTACAATTAAATTGTAGATTATTAATAATAATTTTTTTTTTTTAATTGATACAGGCCTACTGAACATATACAGCTAACAACTGAATTATTCATATCCTTACCAATTTTGTAATTTTCAAGTACCGGTACTATGTGAAAGATTGCTTTATTCTGCTTTATGTTTCTTAAGAATACGAATTAGAAAGCATACGGTACATCTAAATTTATCGACAAAGACCCAAGTTCAACTATAGTCCACGTTTCGTTCTTGAGTTACGAAAAACACAAAAAACATCAAATTTACAAGGGTTATGAATGATCTAGTTGTTACACATCTAGATGTACACTATGCATGGTAGTCTGTACTCCACTCTACAGATACATGTACATGTACATGTATTACATCATAAGTTAAAAATAACGTCATTACAGAATACAGATAGATGTAGATCATAGACATGTATCACTTCATTGGAATGCTACATGTAGGAGAGCTTTCTCTTCGGCCCTCTCTTTGTCTATTCAAATCAAACAAACCACAAAAATAGTACACCGTACTACTCCATTGATTGAATGAATAAATATTGGTTAGCGTGCCACAAACACAATGAATCAGCTGATCGTGCGTAATCCTCTGCATCATTACATACAGTGTATGATGTATTGGCAACATGAGGCCATAATCACGTTCAAGCTCTAGCTTAAGATGTCAGTCTCCTGCATTTGTCAATTTTGAAATGATGTGATGTCAACTATGTTTTTTTTTAAAGGTATAATTATGTAATCATTTATATGATGATACGATCATACAGTATACATTTTTTGACTCTTTTTATGTACCTACATGTTGTTTGTATTATATTACTTTTTGTTATGTTGAAAAATGCAGAAACAAAATCAAGCAAACAAACAAACAACGACCTCTTCCCTTTCTGACCTCATTTTCAACCCATAGCAGTTCAGAGTTTTCTCATATAAATGAATAATTTTTTCTCTCCTAAATCTGGCAATTAATGATTATTCTTATTTTCCACTACTTCATAGTTTGAAATAATGAGAAGTGTAAAATTCAACCAATGTGAATGAATTCAATGAAAACTAAAAATTGTAAAATTGCCAATGTGTCCACAAAAATGGTGAGTACAAATTGTACACGGCATTGCCAATTTAACAAATTTTAATGATTAGTCACAATTAAATCGCTCTATAATTATTTGTGAATGACACAGCGTACTGCACTGGAAATAGACTCAAACTTTTCTATGATTGTTGCTTTTTCTGCTCATGTATAATGTGTAATTCCTAGCAATCCTGATCTAAAGATTACAAGTATGCAAAAAATGTCCTAAAGGAGGCACTGTATACTGCTATGGGTTAATTATCCATGCAGTCAAAACAAAAAGAATGAAAGTACAAAAATGAGAGGTCAATATACAGCAATAACATTTTTGGCACACCTGCAATCTATAAAAATTAATGGACCATTAATTATTCACCGGTAATTGATTTTGTCATGCTTAATTCATCTAGATTTTTGAAAGCATGTAATGCATATACCATCTCCATGCATATACCGGTACTTTTCATTTATATACTTGAGGAACCAATATGGTGTACTGTATAACGGGCATAACAAAAAGGTTGACTCTTTTTTAATTGATTGACTAAAAACATAAAGCTATATGCCACTAATATCAAGCTAAACTATACACAATAAAGACCTTTTTTTTTTAGTACCGGTACATGTTATTTCCTAGTAATTTTCTTATAATAATAGTTCCCACATAATGATACATGTATGCATTTGAAATTACAATGTACATTTGCACCTTATTACAAATAAAGGCCATAACAATCTGGGTATCAGTAATTATGATGGATGATATTTTGAGAAGCATTATTTACTACATTCTTCAACAAAAAACGAGCAAAGTCTAAGTTCATATTCATCTATGCACTACATTGTAGTTACAACTTTCACTTAATATAATTTAAATAATAATAATAACAACATTTATAATACGCACAAATCCACCCCAAGGGATGCTCAAGGTGCCTTAATTATAACTCGGCTTTAGCTGTGCTGCCATTACGGTGCTCTAGCATTTCAAGGAATTAACTCCTGCCAGGTACCATTTACAATATGACTAAAATACAAGAGTGGTTTTTTAAACACCTGCATGTAGTACACTTGACTGGTATATTGAGATGGTAATATTTACCTGTACAGCACTGTTCAGAAAGCAGTTATTATCTCCAGGAGCGTTCAGAAGTCCCTTTGAGAAGATGACCGACGTTGTATTTCCAGGTTTGAAAATGTTTCTCGAAGACTGCGAACGAGGTCTGACTCGATTAAAGTTTTCCTTCACCCAAGCGGCCATGATGATAGACAATGAAAATCTCTAGCAAAGTTGTTTTTTCAAAATCTCAAGAATTTGACGAAGGCATAATCAAAATAATCTCTCCTATTGTTTACTTTGATAACTTCTGAGTCATTCTAGAAATATGTTGCATGAGTATGTACATGTAGCTGTAGTTCTCTGTGTTGCCTTTCTACGTGTAAATGCAGCGATGTTGGTTGCAAAGAAGAAATATTCATAAAATTCACAGGAGAACGTTGATTTTATCCATGGCAAAGCGTGATGTTCACTGTTCCAAAAATGAGCAGTGATGGTGATCTGAAGAGTTTAGTTGTCAAATTCACCGGATTCTACTCTTGACTTGAAGCATGTTTGCAGCGATCCTCTTCAATGGTGTGTGTCAAATTCCTTGAGAGAGTGGAGCCCCTTCTTCATCCATTATTCATGAGACTTTCTGTATCAAGCTATCGTCCAGGTTTATTTTCAGTACAATGCTCCTCTGTTAGAATGCAATTTAATCACACAAAGAGTTCTGATGTAACAAGACTATCAGTTGGTTGTTGGTTCTCTTTGGTTTTAGAAAGCAAGATTAGTTGTAGCAGTTGCTCCCTCTATATCGCTTTACTATTAATCCAACATCATTATTGGTGTATTTTCAATCTAATCAACCAAACACAGTTCAGGGAAAATCACAAAGGTAACCCATTTTCCAATGAAACCACACAATTACAACTCCAAAATTATCCCTCTATTATTTCCATCGCTTCTACCAAGGATTATTCTTTGACCTCCTTCCAGAAAAAACATGCAGCGGTTTGCCTCTGGACCTTTATGCGGAGCTGGAGAAGCAGCCGACTTGTTTTGATAAGATTCTTGATTTGATATTGTGTTTTGTGGACTGTGATAATAGAAACGATGGGTATCTGCTGTGGCCCTTATTCCCACTCTTTATCATTAAATTTCAAAGAAGTGGGTTGCCTTTTCTGTGTCACGGACAACGAGCAAAGTGATGTGATTTCAATTGAGAATGTGTGGGAATGGCATGTATCCACTTCGCGTTCAGACACCTTCTCTTCCTTTACAACGCTTAAGATTGATGGCACAAAGTGTCATTTCAATCACTTCCAAGCTTCGGCGAGAAACCTATAGCATCCGACTCCCTCTCTCCTCCTTGTGTCGATGTTTATGGTACCATGGCAACGGCAAGTTGCGGAAGATTCTGGAACACTAGCCTTTAATGAACAGGGTGATTGCTTTAGCAGCCTTGTAATTCCTCTCCTATGGCATGACAAGGCCTTTTCTTTAGTTGATTCTGTAAATAAATGAGGAAAAATATAAGACAATTAATTTAAAGTGACTCAGTATTATTGCCTCAGATTCTGAAACAAAATCCTGGATTTTGCTCATGCCGCAATCATAATTATAAACCTTCAGGTCAGTCAGGAATCCCGTGACTTTTACAAGCCGATCGCCTGTCTGATTATCAAGATATTTATGATTGGAAATCGAAATGAAATTTTGTGTTTTCCTAAGAAGCAGACTTCAAAAGAAGTCAAGTTGACTTCAAAAGAATATCACAAGATGTTACGATTTCATCAATTTTCATCAATTTTCATCCAAAACAAAAACAAAGCAAAGCACATCGATGTGTAGGCTACAAAAAGCACCTGAATAAATATGACATTCATGTTATGGTAAGGCATCGTATCACAAGTACCTACGGTACAGTGTACATGTACAGCACTAATAACACTATGTTTGAATTACATCGGTCTAACTTCACAGATGTGAATAAAATATTCTCAGAGATAAGACACCTTTAACAGGCCTGTTATCATCAGACCGAAGTTGCAAACTAACACGCCGTTATAACTAGCCCGATCTCAAATTAGCCAGCTAATTTTCGTCTTCATCAGCCCGCAGTTGCAATTTGCGGGCTATTAGGTCAAGAATTTTTTTTGAGAAATCTTGGTCTTGGGGAATAGTGGGCTAATTTGTGTCCGTTCGAGCTAGTTTGTGATGAGCTTATCGGTCTGGTGAAGACGCAGGCCCTATGTGCTAAATTTACTACAGCTATTCAGCTAATGTAACAAAGCAACTATTGCTGACTTCAAAAGTCGCCCATACAATAAAATTAACCTTGGCCCATACCATACAACAAACAATACTTTATTGATCATGTTGCCTCCAAACAATTCTAATGCCTATGCTCACATATTTTTTTTTTCTCAACGTTTTTTATTTTAAAAGATTTATTGTAGTGATTTGTAGCCCTCTTCATGAGATATGTTGCCAAATGGACAACATAAAGAAATATTTGTTATATTCATTTATAATATGACCTTGTCCTTTACTAATTTTGCCTGAAAGTTGCGTTTAAAAATTTGTACATATATTTCTAAATAGGCACGATAAGAAACATCGGACAAAGACTCCTATTTCTGGGCAAATATAAAACAATTCCTGTATTAAGACCAGATACAGTATGTACGTATACTTGATATACATGCATAGACATGTTGTATACAGATTATGTATATACATACACATACATGTCAAAGTCATGACACTGCTGTACATGGGTTGTATCCAAGACGACTCCTTGTGCATTGTATCCTTTGGAGCAAAGTTCAACATCAAAGCTAACAATGACAAGAAAGAGATATCAAAATAATACATCAGCTTTGACTTCTGGCCAATGATGATATGTCCCCTACAGAGTACACACATCAGCCCCCAAAGAAGGATTGGAATTCAATTGTTACAATACAAATTCCTTTCAAATAAATACATTACCGGTACCGGTATTTATAAAGCTGTACTTGATAGGGGAAATGTATGATTAAGCCTTCATTATTTCCTGCAATGAAGGGCATACATCTACAATCAATCGCATGTCTCTGCTTTCCAGCAGATTGTGCAGAGCAGCCACGCTGTAGTTATACATGCACAATTCCCCAATACTATCTGGAACTTACTAAGTAGTCACACTTCAAAATTATCATAGTTTGGTTCATGGATTTATCCCATATTTCTCTTCATCCTGATTTTAAATTAAAGATTTTAAAAAAATCCTGACTGGGAGGCTCAGGGTATGAAATGTTTTTCATGACTGAACAGATAGTTTGTACCTTTGTAGAGGATATGAAATATGTTGAGAACAAAAATTGAATGAAAGGGAATAAAATGATGATGATGATGATGATGATATATTTCATTTATTTTCATAAAAAATATCTTAACAGGTCGACTGGATGCCCTTTCAACATTGCATTGGTATTACAGTGGGCCCTGTGATGATGATGATGATGATGATGATGATGATGATGATGATGCTGAAGATGGTGATGTTCCACTCTTTCCCCTTTTGAGGAAGCTCTATTCTTCCTAGTACAGCTACATTGTATATATTCCAAGTAATATCTTCTACATGTACATGTATATCTACAGCACGAAATCCTTTTCTCTTTCTCCTTCTAAAATATGGTTCCATCAAATACCCTACATGTACCTTGCTGTTCATGATGAATCTAGATGATACAAATATCCTCTCATCCATGACATCTAATTTTCCATGCTCCATTGCTTATCCAATAATCATAATTTATAACCTTGGCACTTTACCTCTACAGAGTGATTTTTGCAACCATAAAATAAGACTTGAGTGGAACCCTGATAATAATAATAATCTTCCGCATTTATATAGTGCATAATACATCGATGATTACAGATATGTTTCATTCAAAACGATGCTCAAATAAGAACTTTGTTATACAATGTCTTGTTATTTGCTGTTTCTGTACATATGACATACAGAATATTAGAAAAAAAGATAATTACTTTTCATATACGGGTAGCTACATTTGTAAATATGATACTGACATATACATGCACATTGGCTATACAATGAATTCTGGCAGTCTAAATACAGTGTTAAAAACTGATTGTAAAAACAAAAGGATGGTATAATAGATGTGTCTGGGAGACACACACAGTCCAGTGGTTTCTGTGAATGTCCCTCAGGGTTGCATTCATCCACCAGTCTGTTAGCACCTTCCCATTAGACAGTCCACTGTCAGATGAATATTGATTGACACTTTCAAATCAATATTCTCAAAGTAGCCAGCCATAAACTGAAATGCTAAAGAGGCTCATGATAATTGATAAAATGTTGGGAAGGGAGTAGTGTACTTGTACATGTAGTTTGCAGGCATAAACACTTGAAAGTAGCTGTGTGTAACGGTGTCTGCAGTACAAGACTACAGTAGACTATATATTTGAGCCAACACAGCCAGACAATATTTTAAAGTAGCCAACCATAAACTGATGATAATTGATATAAGATGTTGGGATGGGAATAGTGTAGTTTGCAGACAAAAACCCTCACCAGTAGTTGGACGTAACAGTGTCTGCACTATAGACTACATTAGGCTCTGTACTTTAGCAAACACACACAGAGACTGAAATTTGTAGGCTCTGCTCAAGGCAGAAAAGCTTTAGGAATATTGGTAAAGTGTCAAGTTAGAGTCTGTGATTGCAGAATAGGAATAGTGTAAGGAACAAGAATGAGAGATAAGCTGAAGGTTTTCTGTAGGATTCCACATAATGGCTTTAAACAAACATTAAACTTCATATATCTGTGACACCTTAAACATTTTCAAATTACAAGTACATGTATCTGCTACCCATGACTTAATTTGCTAATATCACTTAGAAACCAATTTATCCTGCAATATCAACTGAAAGTCTGATACAAATAACATTCTTCCTCCGCATTTTCAAATCTACCGCATCCTCTTTCTCATTCTTAATATACTTATTCTGACTGTGCAAAAACAGCAAAACATAGACAAAAAAGACAAACAAACAAAAGGGGAAGAAGAAAAAAAAGGTTGTTATACACATTGGTCGTCTTACTTTGATCTATTTTTATCTGTTCCTGGTATTCCCGATTCAATTTCTGCTTTGGGGGAAACACCTCCTTGTTTGCAATGTTAATGGGTTACACTTTAAACATTATTTTTGTCAGAAGGAAATGAATGTGACTTTCATGTCATTTCAGTATAAATGTACACATGTCAAAGTGATCAGGCTATTACATGTATGTACATGTACATTCAGTTAACAAATGACACACATCCACACAACCATTGAGAAATGAAATCACAATAGCCATATATAAAGCATGTGCGTCACATAGTGATTCAATTTCATAAATTCTAATTCTGATAATTTCTAATTTGGACTCGCTAATGAATCATATTACAAATAAGCCAGACAATTATCTATCTGGTTTCCTCAGTCATCATGATCCATTTCTCTCTTTCTATAAGACTATGCTGACAGCATACAACATACGGTAGGCTCTTTCCTTTCGCTGCTTCAGACACAGCCAGAGATTTCAAAAATTAAATCTTTGAAAGTCTTCACATCATGGAGTGTTTTAGACTATAAATTAGCGATATATGCAAATAAGAAAGGGATCTATAAAAAAATCCTGAAAGTTCAGTAGTCCTGAGATATGCTTCGAATATCTTCATGTTTACGTTGAAACGTAGAGTAGTTATGCCTCAAATGTATTTCCAACATTGGTAATATTGATA